GACTTTTTATTGAGTGGATTGTAAATTTTTGCATACCGTCCGTTGGTACGAGATGGCCGATATTTCTGGGCGGGCGGGACTATTTTTTTGGCAATGTTAACCAAAAGTTCTCCCACGCTGCATATAACGAATTCTTTTGATTCTTTGCTAAAATAGGTGTAATAAATAGTCTGACATAGCCAGTAAAAAACTTTAAACTGTGCGTAATGATTTACTTTACACGTAGCAACCATGAAGTATCGATGTGCTAACTGTGCCTACTTTGGAATAGCCAGCTGACTTCAACCAAACAGTTTTTATTAAGCGCTAATGATGTACAAAACGCTGGTTTATTCATAGTTACTTAGGTACTGAACACGCAAACTTTCAATAAAAACATGACAGGAAGTCGCGTTTAAATCTTAAATCTACTCTACTCCGACTTGGCGGTGTCGATGATGGCCAGATACAGACACCTTTAAATTTTTAACTTTTTATTTTAACTTTTTAAAGTTGGTAAACCGATTTATAGTTATTCATTCATTTATTTATTTATACTCTATGCACACACAGAAAAGAAATTGTAAACATTGCAATAGTCATTTGAGTACAATGGGCGGTGATCACACGCGGTGATTTTTTCCAGACAACCTTTGGATGGAAGTTTTGAAAAGAATCTGGAAATGGGTGGTAGATGCACAATAAAACAAAACCAAAATAGAAGAAAAACACTTAAAACTTTTTTGATTACCTATTTCGTCTCGCAATATCGTCAATGAAATCATGGGTAGGCATAGTGGTCATGGGACCACACACTATTAAGCTCCGTACCTAGCAGACAAACACACCACGTACCTTGGGTGATTTTATAAGAAGTTGCATTGAGTCTTAGTCAAAAGATCATTACAGACTCCAAAAAGATCGTAACGAAGCTAATAGTTTTGAAAACCCTAAAAGTAATAAAAACTCTATAATAGGTTCATCTCTGGGTTAGCTCAGATCATTACACATCTTGTATCAAGACAAAAATAACCATAAATAACCTTGAGGTGTCTTACGCATTCGTAATATTCAGATGTCGCGACACTTTTTATATTAATCACATGAATATTAAAACAAGTTTATTAGCAATCTTAGTAAAGTTAAACAATATTTATATAGTTTTTACGATTGATAATTAAATGGGTAAGTAACTAATTTTAAAAAAAATCTAATGATTTCAAGATATCAGGATAGAACGCCAGCTATTCAGCTTACGAGTTTAGACTGTGTACGCCAGAAGTTAAAACCGGCTCCAATGTCTAGACATAGTCAAAATCAACACTACCAACTGTCGGAACTGTTCGTGTGCATATCGTGAGGTGCGCACGAGCGACACATTCGCCGAATGCGGACTCACCATAATGTATCGATGGCAGTTTCTATTGCTGTAATCCGTTTTTTCAACACTTTGCATCCCATTTTAAAACTGTTCATAACTTTGTTTTAGATAATCATGTTCATAACACAAAAACGTACTCTTTCCTAACTACCACTAATGAACAGAAATCTTACACACATGCGTGTATGCTAGCGCCAACCCTCTTTAGTTGTCGCGGAGAACCTAACGCGTTACCGGGGCTCCGGCTCGACGTGCAGGAGAAGGAACGGGGTGGTTTTTAGTCAGTAAGAGTCTGACACTCCCTCCCGCCTCACTAAGGCGGGAGCAGTCATTCGATGATTTTTACCCCTTAAAAAAAAACAAAAAAACCCTCTTTAGTTCATTAATTAAGTACTCCTTACACGCTACTTGACCTAAATCAGGGGTACCGAACTATTGGCATGGAACACAATATTTTATTAGGCACGTTACTGATCACTAATCCCTCTATTGCCAGCATTGACTTATTCAGGCAATCCGTTAAGTTGTTTAATAATACTAGTCGCGGGTTCGATTCCTGAACGGAGCAACTCTTTGTGTGATTTACAAATTGTTGTTTCGGGTCTGGGTGTCATGTGTATGAGAACTTGTATGTTTGTAAACGAATCCACGACACAGGGAGAAAATATCGCAGTGGGTTAACGTTTAAAAAAAAATTCTTAATCTCTCATAACTCAATAACCCGCTTCTGTTTGGCGCGCGATCCCGATGATAAAAAGTAGCCTATGTTATTCCAGACCATAATCTACCCCTGTTCCCAATCTCACTCCGATCCCTTCAGCCGTTTTGACGTGAAGAAGTAACAAACACAAACTTACGGATTTTTAAAACATTTCTATAAACATTTATTTTAAAAATAGCACATTGATACGTAGATAAAGGGTTGACATCCCTGTCCTTTAAGGAGGATCGCACATTTTGATTTCACTGCAATGCAGTCTCACTGCGTGGCTATATATTTTGCTACGAAAGTTATTCGAATCCTGGAGGACAATGCACTTTTGCTCATGGAATCTTTAAAAAAATAGTATCGTTGTAATTTATTATTTCGACCACGAACTAGCCTAATTAATATAAAAGTAAAGATATTTGTTAGGTTACTAAGCGAATAATACTTAAACTCTTTTGGCGTAATTTTATTCGGTAACATTATGATCGTTAGTGTTGGTAGGTATGTTCGTCTATCTTTCGCATCCCGTCGCATGACATTTGTATCTTAAGTCCTTACTCGGAAGTTCGGAACTTCCCGGGAAGAGTGGAGGTACGCTGCTTATGAGGAAGAGTCCCTTTGTGACTCGTACCTATTAGAACTTTTGTCAGTATATTTACGTGAGAGATAACTCGTAAATATACTGACAAAAGTTCTAATAGGTAGTGTCCATGGGCGGCGCTGATTGATTACCATCAGGTGATCCGTCTGCTCGTTTACCGGCTCAGATCCCATAAAAAAGGTTTTTTTTTAAAGAAGGAAAATCATCCAATGACTTCTCTCGCCTGGGTGACGCGAGAGGGAGTGTTGGACTCTTGCTGGCTAAAAACCACCCAGTAAAAACAACCTACTCCTACCTTTCGAACCAGAGCCGTTTTTTTTAAGGAGGGAAAATCATCGAATGACTACTCCCGCCTGGGTGAGACGGGAGGGAGTGCCAGACTCTTACTGACTAAAAACCACCCCGTTTCTACTTTGAGCCGGAGCCCCGGTAACCCGTTAGGTTATCAACCCTATTGGGCCCCATCCGTGGTGGTCTGATGGCTCTTTGAGGCGCGCGCGGAACGCGATGCGCCGCACGCTCGGGTCTAATTCTGGCTTCGCTGCCTCATGCGCCCCGTCTCCTCCTTAGCTAGCGTGACTGCTTCGAAAAAGGAGAAGACGGCACCCCAGACGCGAGAGGTCGCCATCCCACGAGCACGGCGCCGGCGGTGCTCAGCCCACGCAGGGCATTCCCCAACTGTATGTTCCACCGTGTCCTCAGGGCGGTCCTCACAGTGATGACACCCGGGCGTTTCCTCCCGCCCCATCAGACACAGGTACCTCCCGAAACTTCCATGTCCGGTGAGGACCTGCGTCAGGCGGTAGGTGAGGACGCCGTAGCGTCTCTCAAGCCACTCCTCAAAGAGGGGACTTACCGCTGCGATGGCAGCGAGCCCAAGATCCAAAGCCCTGGCAACCCGTTAGGACCTCCGCCGCTATATATCGGCTACAGCACTATTGGGAAGAGTTGCACGATTGACGCAGTGGCTGGGTGATGTGTGTGTATGGGTATTTTGTAAGCGCACCCACGACAAAAGAAACTCAAAACCAAGTTTAAAGAGAAAGACAAACAAAAGACGATGATGTAATAAAGTTAAACATTTTAATTTTAGTACCAAAAATGGTGCTTTGAATTTTGAAATAAAGTATCTATACCTACTTATTTAGGTACAATATTCTGTTTTACCCAATAACAAACAAAGTTGTCATTATCTATTTTCCAAAAATGAACGAAGATGATTTAAATCCTAATTAACTATTGCCTAGACTTAGTAAAACAGTAAAAGGACGAAAGAATATACGTACTGATAGAGCAAGATAGTACTTCTCGAGACTTAGACTTAGACCTAAGCAATTTATGTAGCAATTCATAAAAAGTAAGCTTTGTTAGCTGCGTATGATAAATACGCGTGCTTTGCAAAATATTGGCAATGATTCAGGCAAGTAATATGTACTTATTTCACTTGTTTTTTCTAACACAATTAAGCGGTGAGCCGGTACGTATGGTCTTACACAAAAGAACATAGGTAAGTAAGTATATAAATGTAAATCCTACCTTATTTTGATAATAATAGTGTTCCATTACGCAGTTGTGGTAGTAATCCATGTCGACGAAGAATATTTCTCAAATCACTTCAGTTTAAAAATTAAAATACAATTAAAAGTTAACAAAACATAAATAACAAGTTAATTAAGACTCAACTTCACCATCAACAATGCAAAACTGAAACAAAGCACATCTCTCTGGTCTTTGCTTTACTTTTATTAAGGTACTGTTTGCTCTCGTTTTTGTCTCATTTTTGCAGTTAACTTTTCAATTTTGAATTTTCGCTCTGACGTCTCTCAGTACGAAAATTTATTGCCAGCCTTAATTTCTAAATGTGATTCATTTTGTTTTTGTTCCATTGAATCGAAATTAAGTTTTAGTTAATTTGCTTCTAAAATTATTAGTGTTAAATGTTTTAGAATTATTGTTAAGTTTTTTGTAATAAAAAAATAAAACAAATCATCGACAATAATTTATTTCTATACTAGTCACATTACAACTCGCGTCAAATCATACCTTCCTTTCAGCTGCGTTCCAGTATCGAATAAAAATGTATTTGACAAATGTGACATTTACTATGAAGAGTATGTTGCTGAATTACTGATTATATGAATTCTACATACACTTTTAATATTTTATTTATTATTTTTAGAAATATAACTATTTTTATCAAAAATAAAATAATGACCGAACCCTAATAATAAATTACGATTTCATGTCAAAAACGACCAACTCGAAGACAAATGTCAATATTTTACAGTTAAGTCAGTGAACGGTAACTGGAACGCGCTGATTGTCAAACAATAAAAACATTGACCAGTTTTATTTTGTTAATTATTTACTTTATTACAACACTCTCATTTTAAATAAATACTGTTTTTAAACTACTAGATCTTTTTTCATTATGTGTTGTTGACGAATTGAGCATTTGATTAGCATATTTACAAACTTCGATAAGTATTTTTGATCGAATTAAAATGTTTAACCCTGATATCAATGACTATCAACTTACTTCGATAATAACAGAGTGCTGTGGAGGCGTAGCCGTTGTTTATTCAGCGCTTTATAAACCTAATAATCAAAATGTCGCCATCAAGAGGTATTTTGTTGACAAAACGAAGGAAAACGCCAACTTGATACAGGTATGTGTATAAAAGTATTTTAATCTTTCTCTTACAATAAATGAAACGCAAATGGGTACACACTTAATTAGTATTCACTCTCATTAACAGACTGTTACCAATTTTTTGTGTAAATGTTTCAAAAATACTGTTTGTAGGTCAATCAAGGGCTTCTAAAGGGCACTCTTTTCCTAATAAGATACACATGAGTAGGTTTATATAGTCATAGCCGAAAGTTATTGGTACCTACCTACTTATCTGGGATAGAACATCTTTTGAACTTCTGGGTTTAGTTTTCCATAAAAATGCAACTTCTCCTGTTTCCATGTCAACAACTGATGTAAATACACCACAATGTTATTTTACAGTTATAATTTGATAACACTAACATTAACATTTCGGTTTGTATGCAGTAGGCAGAGGCTATGGAACACCAATTCCTACAATTCTCACATATCTCTTTCACTACAATTTTATAAAGTAAACAACCAAATAGCAAAAATCTATAATTATAATTTACACACACATTGTAAAACTCATACCTATTGATCAGCATCTAAAGTCAGCATACCACTTCTTTTAAAACAGTATACAATAAACAATATTTCTGTCTATCAACAATGCTATCATTAATTTTCAGCAAGACATCCTCACAAGGAAGGAACTACAACATGCAAACATATTACCGTACCTAACATCTTTCGTACATGGCAAGGAGTTGTACGTAGTGTCTCCGCTCATGATATTTGGCTCCTGTCGTGATATCTTGGACCACTACTTCCAAGAAGGTCTACCAGAGCTGGCCTGCGCTCTTGTGCTGAGAGATGTACTCCAAGCTTTACAGTATTTGCACAAACAATTATATATTCATAGGTAAGTTTATGCAATATTATATTTATTTTATTTTTTGTAATAGACAATATAGTACGAACTTTCTAATTGCCTGCCTCATTTGTTCAGCAATTACAATTTGTGACTACCAAATGCAGAGCAAAGAGGTTTGTTCCCCAGCTTGTGCAACTTTTATTTGGGTTTATTAATTATTTATAAACAATCTTGAATTTTCAAAATACCTACCTATGCTCCACAATAGCTAAAGTTTATCTTCTCTGAAAATCTTAAAAAGATGATAAAATAAGAAGAAATATTGAACAGTAAACAAAACTATGAGAATGCTTCATTGTATTATAACCTTTTTACAATGTTTACCTCTTTTGAGTCATAAAATTATAATTTAAGATGATTCTACTGTTCAATGCTAGGTCAAAGTCGAGACATTGTAATGCAATAAATTAGTATTTATGTTATTCCTAAATAGAAGTAAAATAAAGTAGTTATAAAATTGTGTGTGTACAATGTTTTATTCAGACAAGATGATGAGGATGATCATGATGATAGAAATTCTATATCTTTGTAGAAGTCAAACGTCAAAATCATTAATTTCAATTAGACAAGAAAGGCACTTTTAAATGTCAACAAAAAAATTCAAACTGATGCTATTTCCTCTGATTCCTACTGAGAAGAACGAGCAAGGAACCTCATAGGTTTTTCAATCAGGTTCACAATACAATTTTTTAGTTACATGGTTTTATTGGTCCAATCGTCTGAGAACAATGTAGCACCAAGATACAGTCAAAGAAAATGACCCTTTTTTTTTTTAAGTGGAGAAAATCATCGAATGACTGCTCCCGTCTGAGTGAGGCGGGAGGGAGTGTCAGACTCTTACTGACTAAAAACCACCCCGTTCCTTCTCCTGCACGTCGAGCCGGAGCCCCGGTTACCCGTTAGGTCCTCCGCGACTCTGAATCGGCATCGGCCGTATTGGGCCCCATCTGTGGTGGTCTGATGGCGCGCGCGGAACGCTCGGCGCCGTACGCTCGGGTCTGTTTCTGGTCGGACGGGGAGCCACCCATGCTCGCCGTCCGCAGTCCCGCGCTTACGGTGGCCGGAGATCGTAAAGAAAATGACCCTAAGGGCAATAAAATCATAGTCTGGACATAGATAAGCAAAAACTATGGTTACAACATATTGATAAATTATTTGCTCATTAAGTACTAACTAGTTAACAGTTGGACTTGGTTATGTATTTTGTCATTAATGTGTTTTAAAGTACCTAATCAAGATAAACCTTTTCACATTGCTCTGTTGGTAAACACTGTTGCTATTATGTGTGTCACTTCTCTACGCCTTCGGGGATAAAAAGCATGCTTTTTATCCGATGTTACGTTATTATTATAGTTAAGACAATCAAGTATTATGCAAAATTTTCATTGGAAGGATACACAAAAATAAGACTGACAAGATGGAAGCTAAAGCATTTAGAATTTAATCCGCGATTGTATGATTGCATATAAAATGTTAAATAAATAAAAAAGCATGTAAAATCGCAGGCCGTATGATGGAACACTGCCTAAGTGCCTACAGCACCTACACATTTATACCATATAAACCAGAGCCAAACCCTCGACTTCTTTATGTAGGGGAAGGAGAGTCTCATAGTTCGGCAGTGGACTTCTTTGAGCTGTTAGTCTTTTTGTTGTTTGGTATCAACAGCGTTCACTTCTTCATCTATTTTCAGGAGCGTTCGTGCCAGTCACGTATTAGTAGGTGCAAACGGGGGTGTCCGTCTATCAGGTCTCCGAAGTGCGGCTTCCTTGATGGTTCGGGGCCGAAGACAGAGACACCTGCACCAACTGCCACCGCCTGATGCGGACAACACCAACCTCATGTGGCTTAGCCCTGAACTGCTGGAACAGGTATTGGGAAGATAGTAGAACTGGCTTATTTAAAATTTTCTAATTGGTTCCTTAATCAAAAATCAAAGGAAAGTTCCTTAATCAAAAATAAATAATAAATAAATAAATAGACTGCACGATTGGCGCGGTGGCTGGGCAACTGGCTGCCGCGCAACGTGTCGCGGGTTCGATTCCCGCACGGAACAACTCTTTGTGTGATCCACAGATTGTTGTTCCGGGTCTGGGTGTTATGTGTATGTGAACTTGTGTGTTTGTAAACGCACCCACGACACAGGAGAAAATACGAGTGTGGGGCAACGTTTTAAAAAAAAATATATCGACTGTTCAATACAATAAAATATAAAAAATAATAACAATTGCATTAATTGACTTTATGACCAATGTAATATTAGTATTTTTCCAGCAAATTATTAAGAAATAAGTACGCTGTTTGACGCTAAAAACACGTGACGTCACAATTCACAATCTCGTACAAAATTCATAGAAAACTGTCGTAACCGTATTATTAAAAACATTACCCTCCTTCTTCTTCTTTGGCAGTCGGGTAAAAATCTAACTAATTAACAAATATCTGTTGTGTGAGCCTTATATTTAAAAATCTGACCATATTTTCCATCATCTTTTAGTTGACGTCAGCAACTGATTACAAATATCCTGTTTGGTCAGTAAATTATTTGTTATTAAAATTGCTACTCACGTTCACATTTTGTCTTTAATTTCAGAATCTAAAAGGCTACGATGAGAAATCAGACATATATTCTCTGGGCGTGCTATGTTGCGAGCTAGCGAACGGAGCGGTGCCGTTCGCTGAGGTTCCTACAACTCTGATGTTCACGGAGAAGGTGCGCGGGAGTCGGCCGCAACTATTGGACTGCTCTACCTTCCCGGAGCCCTGTCTAGATGATTCGGAAATGAAGAGTGAGTATTATACAATTAATAGTGTCGTTATTGCTATTTTAAGTAAAAGTCTTGTGCTTATCTTATATCTATGACTATAGTCGATAATAATAGGAATTACCCTAGTTACCTATCAATCAAACTTTTAAGTTTAACGTGAATACACGTTGCATGTTAATAACTAATAAGCTAAGTCATGGTAATATGTCAAAGCTTAAACACATAAAAAATATAGTCGAATAAGGTAGATGCCTAATTTATATTTTAATGTCCGTCTGGTAGATTATTTTAAATCATTAGACACGTATTTTTTATTTTCTTACAGAAATGAACACTTTCGACTATATATTGATTTGAAATATCGCATGACGCCACTGTATTGTTTATGTACACAAAGCACCGCTAATTAGTTCGTAACGCTCACATCGACACTACTTTCATTTACACAATGTACATGTGTTGGTAATTTCATATTACTGTGTATAAAAATATTCGTCCACCACGTTCACATTGGTATTTTCATTCTTGTGTCGGTATACGTATTTTTATAATTTAATGCATGGGTAAGGTTAAAACTATTTACAATCATTGATATGACCCGACATTTTCACTGTAATTATCGTAGTGCTCGTGGTCGATTGGTTAATGAGTACGCTTTTATCGTCTTTCAAGGATCAATGATGATGTGGGTTCTATTCCAGCTAAAAGTTTTTTTTTATTTTACCTTGTTGTTTTTCTTATTTATTTTTTTTTTGTTTTTTGTCATATAATATAAATATCAGGCTATAAAAGAAGCAAATCAGTCGGTAAATAAAACAATACTATTTTTTATTAAAATTAATTTATTAATTATACAAATATGTGGTTTTATATTCAATATTTATATCTAATAATTAATTATATACCACATGTTAACTTTAAAGTTCTTCCAATCATTCTAAATTATTCTAAATAATAAATAACTAGAACTAAAATATAAATAAAGGATATTATAGGTATAAATAAATCTAAAGTATTTACTATTAAAATTAACATAAGATTTAGAAAAATAGGATAGGAAAAAAAGAAAAGATTTAATTGTTTCTAATTTCACATTTCAAATATTTGATTAATTAATACTAAAACAACATGTGAATGCTGGAATCGATCCGGTGGCACTTTACTTGACCACTGGAGGCGATAACCATTGCGCCAAGCGCGCCGTAGATGAGAACATCGAAATATTGTATATCATTCAGTAACATAAAAATACAATGAGAATGCACTATATTTATATAAGTATTGTATTGCTCGATCGTTCATTATTTTTGATTTCGATTTATTCAAAGTTTGTTATGAGTATTTTTATCTTTACCCTCGTTTTTATTTAAACTTATTTACTAAAATATTACGTATACCGACACAAAAATGATATGTAATACCAAGATGTGTGTGATAGAACGAATGTTTCTATACATATCTATTAATATGAAATTACCCACACATGTTCACTGTGTAAATGATAGTAATGTCGATGTGTAGCGCCTCGAACTAATTAGCGGTGCTTTGTGTACATTTTATACGTAGAAATGACGTTTTAGCCCCCACTCCTAAACTTTGATTCGTTTTATCTAAGTATTGTTTTATTATACGACAAAATAAACAAATACGTGTCTAATATTTTTTAATTACCTAACTTACGGACTAATTAGATTTTTAATTTTCATAAATGAAATGATGGATGACAAGCATCCATCATCCCAATTGAGCACCTCCTTTTATTGAAGTTCGCTAAAATGTAGGTCATTAAATAAATAAACACTTGCCTCTCCTAGGTATGTACAACACAGACAGTGGAGTGGGCGACAGTGCGGACGGAGTGATGCGTCTGCGTCAGCTGTACGCGGCCAGGAAACTATCTGACACCTTCCATCATCTCAGCGAGATGGCGCTGCAGAGGTACGAAAATTTTCAAATCTTTTACTATCGTGTTGAGTTCTTAAATCCCCAGATACTCAGCATCCGAGTTCTGTATTTAATCGGTCTTGGAAGGAGACTAAAAAAAGACAAATTGTATAATACAGCAACTAATTCAGAACTAATTTTTGTTTAGAAGTTAGCCTGGATTCATTTGACTCATTCATTCATTTGACTGCACGGTTGGTGCGGTGGCTGGGCAAACGGCTGCCGTGCAACGTGTCGCGGGTTCGATTCCCGCACGGGACAACACTTTGTGTGATCCACAAATCGTTGTTTCGGGTCTGGGTGTCATTGTGTATGTGAACTTGTATGTTTGTAAACGCACCCACGACACAGGAGAAAATCCTAATGTGGGGCAACGTTAAAAAAAAAAAAAAATTTGGTATCCCATTGTTTTTGCCATTTGGTGTCCCATTGTATTTGCCTACCACGATGTTAAGCATGACGTGACGTCATCTATGTACGTGTACATGAATAAAATAGAAATGTTTGAAATTCCAGGGAACCAGACAAGCGACCCTCAGCGACTCAGCTCCTGAACCACCCATTCTTCAAGCAGATCAGGAAGACAGACTACCTGCCCGGACTCATCGGGCGAGTCAAACCTATTAAACCTGATCTCAGTGAGTTACTTATCTATTTACAGAGCTTAAGGCCGATTTTTCCAAAGCTAGTGAAATGGTATCAGGAATAACTTTGAATATTTGACATACCGTTACAAATGGAGCTACTAAATACTATCAAATAACAATTTTAATCTACAGTTAAGAATCAACTGATGATTAAAAAATCGGCCATAAGTTCTTATCTCATATTGCATGGGTGCAATACAAATACAATGTTCATGTACATACTCTTCTGCTCACTCTTGACGAATTAAAAAGCGTGACGTTATATTATGTAGGAGTGATTCTGATAAATTTATAATTACTGACGCCGGAATACTAAAAGGCTACTCAATTTTAAGTCGCGCAATAGGGTAGGTAGATAACTAATTAGAAAACGAATAGTTTCGATGATATATAGGTTTAAAGAATCTTTATTCTCAATAATAACATATCTACATGTCACTTACTTGAGAACATAACAACATAGGTAGGTAAGGTTAGGCTCGACAACATCTGGACATAACATGACAATAAACAAGTCCCATCCAACACATTCATTTTTCGGGTATTTGATTAAGAAGTAAATATTTGTAAATCTGAGTTTTGAATGCGTTGAATGAGTGCAGGTTTCTTATGCGTGAGGGTATTTTATTATAAAGCTATATTGATTTGAAATATCGCATGACGTCACTTTTGAGTACGATTTATACTCTAAATTGACGTAGCTACCTCCCACTCCTAAACTTTGATTCGTTTTATCTAAGTATTGTTTTATTATATGACAAAATAAAAAAATACGTGTCTAATATTTTTAATTACATAACTGACGGACTAATTAGATTTTTAATTTTCATAATTCCTGTCGTCATCCCAATTATAGTTCTGTCAATACAAATTCTTTACACCTAAGTGTTACATGTATGTACATCGCTAATTAGGAAGTAGTGACCCCCTCACTATAATGTGTTATATAAGGTAGAACACTTGTCATCAACGTCGCTGTCTACCTGTCATAGTCTAGTGTGTGTACACGTCGTGCGCCCTGCACATTATTTAATAAATCCAAGTAAAATAAATCCGACTATAATTAATTAATCCACCAACATAACACTAAGTACAATTTAAAATTGAGTTTCCTTTCAGTATTCGGGTGTCAGTCGGTTCTAAGGGGTGGTTACAAGCATATTCTACTCTACTGTCACTGCTCAGCGAATTTTAGTTTAAAGTACCACATTTTTTCTTTTTTATGGAATAAGCCCATAAACGAGCACCTGATGGTAAGCAATCGGCGTCGCCCGTGGATACCTGGAACACCAGAGGCGTTACAAAAGCGTTACCGGCTTTTTGGGGATTAGAAATTTAAGGACTGTGGGGGATTCGGAGATTGGGGAGACTGGGGGAGAGGGAGTAAGGGCCTCCAATAACCTCACTACAACGTAAGCGTTGTTTCGCGTCGGTGTTCTGCTCGGCCGTGATATCTCTTCGGTCGAGCCGACTCATTCGTGCCGAAGCATGGCTTTCCTACACTTTATTTTTTTTTGATCTAGCATAAAGTAGTGGCATTAATATTCGTTAACAATAAAATCTTACCAAACCTTTACAAAATGTTTTTACTGTACTTTTCCACAGGTGATATGTCAGCTCTCCTACTCCAAGAGAAGTTATCAGAGATGGAGATAGAGAAGACAACGGAGTGGGACTTCTAGCGTCCCCACACTCCTACTCTGATATTACGCCTTCTGCGCACACGCAGGTGACATAAACACATACACCGTAGCAACATTGTCAATGTCAACCTTGTTGCTTATTAGGTAAGGATCTTTTTACAATAATGAAATAATGAAATGAAACACTAATTAAGTGTTTGGAAAAATTACGTGTATTCAAAAAAATTAAACTCACGTATAATATTTGTAAAAGCTTTTTGTCTCTCTCTTGAATAATATCACGTGAACGATATAGTGATATTTAACTGAAAATAACGATTTAATCATGAAATAACCGAGATAGTTATTTCTGTGCAGATTTGTCAATACATTTTTAACTTTGTATGTTTGTAATAAAGTTGACAATTTCCATAAAGACGACGTATGTGTTATGCGTCCTTTTGACGTAAGCAATAAGGTTGATATTATCAATATAACTACCGAATGCAGGTTGTACTAGCGTATATGAGACGTCTTCCCGAATACTAAAGAAATTCTAACATAGTTTTAATATAAAAATATAAATATATACAGATACTTTATAATACATACTGCCATCGCAAGACGCAATAATTGTTGTATGTAAAAGTAATTAATAATTATATATGTATTTTGAAATATTGTAGGTATAGTAAACTATATAATAATATAAATAGACGTACAAATTATATTATATTGTTATTATATGTAGTAGAATTGTCGCTAGGATTATTGTTTATAACTTATATATGTTTACATTTTAATATACATATAGATCTGAGTAGACTATGTGGTAGCATTTACATATACTCATGCCTTTGTCCCATGAGGGTAAGCAGAAACTATAGAAAGCCTTATACAAAACTTACATACTTCTTTGGCTTGATTTGTAATATATTTTTAAAGTGATGGCTAATGAATAATCACTTCCATAACGTTTAAAATTGCAGAATACTTTCGACTTAGCTATCGTTTTGTATTTCTCTTCCAACACTAAGTATACGAACATATTGTCGTCGGCGGTATTTCCGATCCGATACAACCTTCAAACCTTCAAGAAAGGAGCGTATTCCTTTTTAAAAGGCTGGCAGCGCACATGCGACTCCTCTGGTGTTGCGGGTGTCCATGGGCGGCGCTGGTCACTTACCATCAGGTGATCCGGCTTCTCGTTTGCCTCCTATTCCATAAAAAAACCACGAAGTCAGACATTTATACTCGGAATTTTAATTCGATTCCAGATTTGACAATTTCAGTGTTGCAACGTTATGACAAGTACTAAATAGTGACGTTGCGAAATTATTCGATATGGAAATGGAATATTTCTGAATCGATTCTTCTCGTTTATAATTTTACTCTCGTAAACTAAGCATATTAGGAAATGTATTATTTCTGAACCGATAATTTAGTTTTGACGATTAACTTTTCTGAGACTTTTCTTTTATAATTGTGTGTGAAATAAATAAAAAAAATATAATCATGAAGGAAATGACAAATAAAACAGATAGATGTAATATGGTAATAAATTGTCGCCGTCATCGCTGTCGCTATCCTGTCACTTTCTGTAACATTTATTATAAAACACACACACTGATTGTTTATCGATTTTTGTGTTCATCACTACACTATTATATGTGGTATCATTATTTCACAAAATGACAGTAGGTATTGTAAATCTGGAATCTAATTAAAATTCTGACTATAGATCATGCTTCGACTATGATCGTGACATATATGTATAAAACCAATAATTTATTTTTTGTTTCATAAAAGAGTTTATATATTAAAGCCTTTTTCATTTAAATATGTCTGAATGTTTACATAATTTAAAAATGGATTGTAAAGTATGAATATAATAGATTTTGGCTTTGAGGTAGCAGTTTCTCTCAATATCTCACTTCATAGTTTAAAACGTACTTGTAAGAACATATATTTATTGTAACTGTCTTTTAAAAAACCTATTACAAGTTGGACTTGTACTGAAACGTTATTTTGTACTGTTTCTTCAAAGCTGAAATCCCATTCATTTGTATTTCTGTTTTATTCCTTATTGGTTTTAAACGAATCAAGCTGTGTCAATGTAATTATGTATAAAACCGTGTTAATATAATACAATAATAAATTCAATGGTTTAAAAAATACCTTTGAAACAAATCTAATATTGAATTAACTGAAAATAACGGTTTAATCATGTTAATATACTGAGAAAAGCTCAAAGTTAGAATTACAGAAGGACTCTTCCGTATGAACAGCATATACGGACTTAGCTAAGGAATGAAACTCCTTGCCTGAATCTGTTTCCCGACAAATATAAGTTGGGTGTCTTCAAGTCCCGAGTGAACAGGTTGCTCATAGGTAGGCGTGCTCCATCATCGCTTACCACCAGGCGAGATGGAGACCAAACGTCGACCTATGAAGTATAAAAAAAAAACAAAAAAATTACGTGATTAAACCGTAATTGGAAATGTGCCCGGTATATGGCAGGCAATAGGCTCACCCCCTATTACATGGGACTCACAACATAAATAGGGAAAAGTGGGTGTTACATTGTACAGTGGCATTAAGTGCTGAAATGTGCACCTCTGCCTACCCCTTCGGGGATAAAAAGGCGTGATGTTATGTTATGTAAACCATAATTTTAGTTAATTCAGTATGTCTCACGATAGTTATTATAAAAAATGTAATATATCATATATCTAAATATAACGTTAATAATAGTTATTTTGTTATTACTTATTCACTGTGTAGTGCACGGAGGCGTACGAAGCGGAGAGTGACATGAATTTATGTATTAATTATATATTATATAATATTAGTTCAATTAGACCAGATGTTGCCACTGTGATCATTAAAGAACAATTTATTGTTATGACTGTGTTTATTTTTGTACTAGAAAATCCCTTTAGGAATTATTATTTGTGGAAGTTTTGACTGTATTAAGATGGTTATTTATGGAATATACGTGGCTTTAGCTAAAAAGTTATTCTTAATTCATCTTGGAGAACTATCTATATACGCTAACTGCTGAAAATCAGGGCTAGGTTAGGGCAGAGCTAGTACTGAAAATCATCGTCGCGACTCGAGCTATTGCGGCGGTCGTATATATTAGTCACGGCATTTAAACTGAATTCTGGCCTTTTTGCGCCGTCTTCACTATTTTTTAAACAATTTTTTTTTCGTATTATTGTATTTTGTAACGGTGTAAATAAACATTTTTTTCTTATTTCTTCTTCTACATAAGAATGTATTGTCTTTAAAAATCGTCTAGTGTTAAGAAAATCGTATCATCATAAAAATATTATCATCTGTCATCCTGTGGTCAGTTCGGTGTTTAAAAATATAAAAAAAACAATCAGATAAATCAACATAATATTTATTTTCATAAATGTAAAAGTATCATACAATTAGTACTTATATACTAAAATGTACACACATGTATCAATTAGTATCGCATTCATATTACCTGCTTGTACTAGAATAGGCATGGCGACTATTTTTTAATTTTTTGTCCACCTTTTAGATATTTTAATAATATTCGACACGTATTTTTTCTTTTTTCTCGTATCCAAAAAAACATGTAGATATTTTGAGTTAAAATGACGCGTGACGTCACACTTCGGTACGATTTCTCCGTAAGTGTGACGTCAACACCCCCCACTCCCTAACTTTAATGCGGAATAACTACGTATTCTTCTGTTAATTTGATAAAACAAAAAATACGTGTCTGATATTTTCGTGCGATCTTAATGACGGACTAATTACTTTTTTGATTTTTTTACCCTGTCGACACGCCTATTATCATTCCACATTTTTTCATAATTAATTATACAAGTTGTTGAAATTAGCCTTAAGCATATATAGTGCATTATGTTGAGTTATCACGCATGGTCCCCTATGTGCGTGAGCATGGCCTTGAGCCAGAGCGCGGCGGCGCGCGCGCCGGCGTCCTCGTCCTGCACGTACTGCGGCGACACGTACGACGCACGGCCCGCTCTGTCGGGGGACAACTAGCCATTATTTACGAGAAACCAGAGAGACATTGGTTGATAAATAATTGTAATCGCTGTAATTGTAACTTATAGTTTGAGATTATATTATCTAACCTGTCGACCATTTCTTGTAACGAAATTGTGTCTTCAACTAACCTCACAAAGAGGTTTAAAAATTACACATTAACTGATATATGAGTTAAACTGAACTATTCGATTACCCAAGTAATCAGAAAGTCTCTAAATACACTTCACAAAATGCCTAAAATCAGGAAATAAGATGATAAGAAAATCATAATCACCTAGCAACCATTTTAGCTGTGGCTTTAGCTCCTTCTTCTGACGCATCCACGGTCTTCTTGAACAACACTCTCAGGTCAGTATTCAGGTTGTGTCTGAACGTCTTTGATGCACTGTGTAGTGTGTCTAACTGTAATATACAATATGAATATCGTTGGGCGGATTTTTGCAAGTGCCACAGTCGACCTATGAAACTCAGACTGTATTATTCATGAAATAGAATAATTTTTCAAAACTTATTGGTAAAAAAGCACGTGGTCTGAAATTATTCTATGTTTTACATTATTGGAAACAAACTATAACACGAACTTATTACCTACTAATCTTAATTAATAAAGTCTGGCTAACGAAAGCTATCCAAGAAGAGTGGCGCTAATTTTAAAAAATCAAGAGCTTTTGCCCTGCAGGACCAGATATAAGGAAGTTAATCAAAGAGTTCTTATTTAAAAATGGGCCAAGGCGAACAACTCTTGGTGTTTTCAAAATTGGCGTAAATTTTTTTGGACAGTTTTTGTTGACCATATTAGTAACTCCTGTACTTACCATAGTCCTATCTCCGGGTTCAGCGCCTCCATATTTAGAGATAGCATGCATACCACTATCCCAGGCTTTCATCCATGAGCTAACATCTATTGATTCAGCACTGAAAACACAGAACAGGAAAAATATGTAAGTAAAAGACATAATCTAAGGTCTTCCTAGTCTCTTGAGTTATGATAGACTAGTTGAATATAATGTTAAGTGGTAATTCATTGATTTTAATATGTTTTATCAACATCCTATAGAAATAATTTCTTCACTAAAATAACAGGATGCGCTATAGTCGAATAGTTTACAATGCAATACTTTAGTTTACTTTGTGGGCCATAACATCTTAGTCCTTTAAAGAATGGCCGGAAGTGTGATTGTTGCAAACCTACTTTCCACTAGTTCTGTATGTCAGATAAAGTTTAAGACCATTGGAAGAACAGCTCAGATACGCATCTTGACATAAGCAAGGGCACATACGGGGATTACAGGTCAGGGTCTTTATTAGCCTTTTGAGCGCCGATGTCACATATATGTGACAAGTGAAAACTGTCCCTGGACGCCAATTACACAAATACATGACAGCAAAAGCGGAACCGGAAACACGAAATCAACAATTTGATTCCTTATTGGAATCCCTATTTCTTCCGTAGAAATTTGAGGGCAGGTTGTGTGTTTTTGCTCCGGCGTTCAAAAGGTTAGAAACCAGCCTCATAACTGATCAAAGTCAGAGATGCTATACTCGTCTTACTTATCTTCTATCTACACTCCATTCGGTCGGTAAATCAAAACCTCCCCTTGGTCTGTGTACATCACGGATCAGAAAACAGAGGTAGCAGAAATAGAAACAGCACGTAGTAAAACACAATTGGAGAATTGACACTCATTATGAAGGTCGAAGGGAGAGGCCATTGCTCAACAGAATAAGTTTCCTGGCTGATGATGATGGTAATGGTGATGACTACTTACCTAGCCAAAGCTTGAGAAGCGGCGGCCAGTCCCAAGCTGTAGATTCCACCAGACGTGCCTCCCATGTCGGTCTCCGCGATCTCTGATAGATCCCATAGCACGTTCGATGGGTACTCTACGGATGCTGTCTTCAAATATGATTGTATTGCTGCAAAAACATCATTAGTTCTGAATTACTCCTAAAGAAGAAAGAATAAATCTGTGGTTCATATAGTGTGTAGCAAAGAAAAGACTAGTAATAGAGCCTTTGCTAGACAGCGAATCTCACAGTTCGTTTCGAAAGCCTAGTTAGTATTTCCA